ATAATTTATTTAATGGTTTATATTTTAAATAATCATTTATAAATTGAAATGACCTTTCGCTTGGAATATTTTTATTTAACGATATACACAGTAATCTAATTAAAAATTATAAAAATATTTGATTGACTATTTCCAAAAACGATATTGTACTTAATTTATGATTACATTTACTGATAATCATCGGAAAAATAAAAAAACATAATAAAGTGATCATTGGTTCCGGTTTATAGCCAATAATGACATTCAATCGGTTATTTTAGGCACAAATAATCATTAACTTTAATACAAATAAATGGATTCATGCATTCAATGATGTGACTTATGAACAATATTTGTATAATACACTAATTAATGGAAATGAATTAAATCCCATTTAATAGTGTTATCGACAATAAAACTCAAATTCCTATTCATTCAATGAGACTGTTATCAGACTTATTGGGATCTCATGCACTGAACCTTTTGCACTTTATTTCAACTAACTTTTTGATTGAACTAGCAATTATCTAAAATTTCTTATCGTAGATAACGGGCACCGATAGGAACGTTAGTCCACGTAATGGTAACCAACAGTCAAAACATTTATAAAAAAGAGGAATCATTTGTGAAACTATTCTCACAGAAGGCAGGAGTTCTCGGTTTACATCGAGTTAAACGTCTAACAAGTATTGGTTATATAACTTAAAACATATTCTCGTTTTCTCACAGCAAACAACACATTCATATTAATAATATTTTTCACTTCCAGTACATTTTCACAGTCTCTTCCGATCGCATGAAAATGGATTCAATAAGCGATTCACTTCTACTGGAGAGCTCACCCTACCACAATCCGGTGCTCAGACTCAGCGACCAAAATAAAAAACATAGGGTATGTCTAATCACTGCCTTACAGTATATTTTAGTTCATATGATTAGGGTACCTAATAAAATGTTATTGAGTCAATATTCAATATAGATCTCTCTCTCTCTCTGCGATTAAATGTTTGCCAAAAATCTAAGAAATATTTGATCCAAAGTACGAATAAGATTATGAAAAATGATTTTTAATATAAAGTGTGTAAAAGTATATGACGTAAACACTATTGTTTTCTTAATGCCAGACCTCAAAAGTATAACGACTGTGGTTTAGCGCTAAACCTAAACACAATATTTTTCTCAGAATATAAAACTAAATAAAAACCTTTTGTCAAGAGATATAAATTATGATTAGTATTATATTTGAAAACTCCACACTGAACCCACGGCAAAAAAATATAAAACATAAATTATAAAATATATCGATTTATTGAAGTATTAGACAAACTTTTTAGTACAAAATCTATGCACTTATTACTATTATGATCATAAGTTTTCGGATAAATCAATATTTTTGATTAAATATGATTGAGATTTATATGAAAAAGAAAATATAAATGTATATAATTTTCAACATAAATAGGTCTACGAATTGCTCAAAGAGATACAGGATTGCCAAGGATTTGACTCTTTTGAATACCTATACAAACTCCTCCTCTACTCTGACCCTGACCTCCGGTTCGGGAGCTCCGGTAGGCAAAAGATATACACATTATGCAAACATTGGCTATTTCCCGACGGGACTGAAGAGGGGGACGCACTGTCCATAGATATCGGCGGAACTAATCTGAGGGTTATTTTAGTCCGACTCAAACCGGGAGCGGAACCGGAGTTTCGGGTCAAACACTATGACATAGAAGTACAGCACAGACAAGGAAAAGCCGAAAATGTAAACCAAATTTCAAAAAAACATTTCTATTAACGAATCTAACATTAAAATCACTGAACAGTTGTTCAACTTTATGGCCGCATGTCTCGAGGATTTCATAAATAATAACCCAGACATCGGTGACAAACGGCTGCCTTTTGGGCTGACCTTCTCGTTTGTTTACGACCAGAAGGCTCTGGATGTGGGGATCGTTACTCAGTTCACAATCAACACCAATTTGCCGGACGCCGTGGGCAGAGATGCCGTTCAGTTCATGCGTGAAGCCATTGCCCGCAAAAATCTTAAAGTGGATGTCATGTCCATCTGCAACGACTCGACCGCCACACTGGCGTACGGCATGTACTTAAAGCCCGACACATACATCGGCTTCATATCGGGCTCCGGCACCAACACCTGCTATCTCGAGGACGTGAACAAAATTGAAAAGATTGATCCGTTGAAGACATTTGGCAAAAGAGTTGATGGCGTTATTCTGAACCTCGAGAATGGAGTTCTCGGTGACGACGGCTCTATTGATTTCGTCAAAACTAAATGGGATTTAGAGATGGACGCGGAGTCGCTGTTCCCTCACATCTACGGGTGCTTTATATGAGACATTAGAAACATAATAACCGTTTGTTTGCAATGCAATTGTCTAATGAAAACTAATTTTCATTGATTGGACAACAGGTTCGAGAAACTAATCGGTGGCGCCTTTATTGGAGAACTGGTTCGCAGAAGTCTATTATCATTAGCGGAAAGCCGTCTATTTCTTGGGGGAGTCATAACCGATGGATTAAAAGTGAAGGACTCTATTAAAGGTCCAGACGTGTCATCAGTAGAAAGCGATAAAACTGACGGTTCAGTCACTGCCTTATTGCAGAGGTTGGGCTATACGTCAGCGCAGATCACCGCCGATGACACCGAGATTGTCAGATATGTGTGCGCTATCGTCGGCGTCCGTAACGCACAGTTAGCCGCCGCCAGTAAGTCATCATTTCATTGACACTATTTTTGTACAAACAATCAAATCTCTAATTTCTTACTATTATTCCTCTTGTCGTTTGTCTGATGTCTGAACACATCGTTTAGATCTCTGTCGCCAACAGGTTGCGGAGCTATTCGGATACCACTCCCAGCGGTAGCTGCCGAGTGACATATCTTTCGTAGGTTTTGACGTATGAAACTACTGACTGAAGTAGCGACTCAATTAAGGCCCGTTTTTATTTGAGTTATTCTCAGCCGATGACGGAAGTGGAAAGGGATCCGCATTTATAGCCGCCGTCGCCGCTAAACACAAACACAACTCCTGATTGCCGTCCAGTGATTAGTCACTCAAATGATGTCTTTTATATTTTTATGTTAATTTGTTTTTACTAGAAATGATTCAATTTTAATAAAGAATTGCTATTTTTAATGAAATTCTTTTAAAGTTCATTCATTGGAAAGACTTGTAATACATGGCTATGTTTGCCATCTATTGCTATGTAATCGTGTCTATGTTAAATAGTTTTCTTGTATGAGTTAAAACCTATTAGATTAGTTAATACCGATATAAAGCACCGGTAGCCTAGACTTTAGAGTAGATTCCAATGGAGCAGTCGTGAGGGAGTTTCCAATCGATGGGACAATAGTGTTATCGACAATAAAACTCAAATTCCTATTCATTCAATGTGTTATCAGATTTATTGGGATCTCATGCCCTGAACCTTTTGCACTTTATTTCAACTAACTTTTTGAAGTATTATAACAATTATCTACAATTTCTTATCGTAGATAACGGGCACCGATAGGGACGTTAGTCCACGTAATGGTAACCAACAGTCAAAACATTTATAAAAAGAGGAATAATTTGTGAAACTATTCTCACAGAAGTTTACATTGAGTTAAACGTCTAACAAGTATTGGTTACATATTCTCGTTTCTCACAGCAAACAACACATTCATATTAATAATATTTTTCACTTCCAATACATTTTCACAGTCTCTTCCGATCGCATGAAAATGGATTCAATAAGCGATTCTCTACTACTGGAGAGCTCACCCTACCACAATCCGGTGCTCAGACTCAGCGACCAAAATAAAAAACATAAGGTATGTCTAATGACTGCCTTACAGTATATATTTTAGTTCATATGATTAGGATACCTAATAAATTGTTATTGAGTCAATATTCAATATAGATCTCTCTCTCTCTCTCTCTCTCTCTCTGCGATTAAATATTTGTGCCAAAAATCTAAGAAACATTTGATCCAAAGTACGAATAAGATTATGAAAAATGATTTTTAATATAAAGTGTGTAAAAGTATATGACGTAAACACTATTGTTTTCTGAATGCCAGACTTCAAAAGTATAACGACTTTGGTTTAGCGCTAAACCTAAACACAATATTTTTCTCAGAATATAAAACTAAATAAAAACCTTTTGTCAAGAGATACCAATTATGATTTGTCTTATATTTGAAAACTCCACACTGAACCCACGGCAAACAAATATATAAAACATAAATTATCAAATATATCCATTTATTGAAGTATTAGACAAACTTTTTAGTACAAAATCTATGCACTTATTACTATTATGATCATAAGTTTTCGGATAAATCAATATTTTTGATTAAATAAGATTAAGATTTATGTGAAAAAGAAAATATAAATGTATATAATTTTCAACATAAATAGGTCTACGAATTGCTCAAAGAGTATGTCCTAACGGTTCCTAAACTGAGAAAACTTATGGATATGTTTGAGGAGGAGATGAGACTGTCACAAACACAACTCCTGATTGCCGTCCAGTGATTAGTCACTCAAATGATGTCTTTTATATTTTTATGTTAATTTGTTTTTACTAGAAATGATTCAATTTTAATAAAGAATTGCTATTTTTAATGAAACTGTTTTAAAGTTCATTCATTGGAAAGACTTGTAATACATGGCTATGTTTGCCATCTATTGCTATGTAATCGTGTCTATGTTAAATAGTTTTCTTGTATGAGTTAAACCCTATTAGATTAGTTAATGCCGATATAAAGCACCGGTAGCCTAGACTTTAGAGTAGATTCCAATGGAGCAGTCGTGAGGGAGTTTCCAATCGATGGGACATTTGATGTGAACGACAGACATAACTATAATAATAATAATAATAATAAAGAGTTTCGGAAGAAAGCAATCAAAACAATAGACAATAAAGTAATTAATTCTTACATTTCTTTCGTTGAGTTCAGGTTTTGTATCATTTATTACATCTAAACATACAGTCAATACACTTAAGACTTNATAATAATAATAAAGAGTTTCGGAAGAAAGCAATCAAAACAATAGACAATAAAGTAATTAATTCTTACATTTCTTTCGTTGAGTTCAGGTTTTGTATCATTTATTACATCTAAACATACAGTCAATACACTTAAGACTTCATTCTCTCTTATTTCCTGACTTTGAGACAAACAAATAACAAGAAATACAACAAAACATTCATCAAACTATTGAACGCCACCATACAATGTACTGTATAACTTATAATTAACAAGGTAAATTCATTTTATCATGTTTGTACANATTTCCTGACTTTGAGACAAACAAATAACAAGAAATACAACAAAACATTCATCAAACTATTGAACGCCACCATACAATGTACTGTATAACTTATAATTAACAAGGTAAATTCATTTTATCATGTTTGTACAGTCAAAGATAGTTTTTAAATGACAATAATATACAAGTTATATCCATTGTATGAATCAATTGAAGATTTTCGCAACATACGATAATTTGTTTTATTTATTCACCAAAAAAAACAAATAAAAAATTGTAAAGAATTTTAAATTACAGAATTATATTATTATGTGGATTATATTGTTTTATAATTAGTCTAAAATACAGTAATTTTAATACTTTAATGATAAGATCAGTGATGAACTGATAGGTGAAATAAAACAGTAATAGTTATGGCTATTTAAGTGTCATTAAAAGTCATCAACACTTATAATTCAATTCATTAATGTTTTTGTTGTTTGAAAAATAATTTTATAATTATATCGCATAAGATGAGCAAGAATTCTGAGCATATTTTGTTTTTATTGGCAATTAATGTCAATAAACTGATTGAACCATTTAATCATTAAAAGTTTAATTTTCAATCTTTCAAAAAGTATAAAAACTTTCGTTATCTTACATCTGGTTATTGCCGGAGAGTATGCCTGTTGACAGACAAACGAGATATGCAGACAAACTATCACTTAGTTTTATGTTTTTATTTGAAAATTAATTTTTTAATTTAAATTTTATTCAAATTGTGCGGTGTATTTATGTCCTTTTTTGGAGACATTATAAGAATTTATAATAAGCTTTGAGATGAATGGGTAGAAAAATCTGGAGAATTATATACATTATATTAAAGTAGTTTTTTATTGCTTGTATACAATTTTTTGGTGAAATGATTTTAACGAGACGTTTATGCAAACATCATATTCAGTGATGATTACATATTTGGATCGACATTACCATCAATTTGAGTCTATTTACAAGACTTTCAAATGGGAGGCCGACTCCTATTACTTCCACATTAATGTTGATGTTATAGCTTTCAGAAAATGTTAAGTTGAAAGGACTCGGAGCTTAACTTAAACTTTAAATAATGGCTTTAAATAGCCGTTTAGTATTGAACTTTATTTTAAAAGTTAACTTTGGGCTTGAAACAAACACAAAAAAAATATTAATAACTACTTATGAAAAATACAACTTTTTCGCGAAAGTAGTAATTATTGCAAACCTGAGACGAGACGAGTACTACAACTCTGTCCTTACAATTGAGCGACACGTCCACCCAGGGATCCAATAGCCCTTTCCAGTCACTACAGGTATACAACAATCTGTGACTATCTTAATCTTTTTCACCAAACAATAATAAAACATAAATTTTATTTAAAAGAGGAAATGACTTTAAAATTAGAAAAAACAATTTTTTCTTGTTATATAATTTTTTAATTTGGAGTCAATTTTCAGATCAGATTAAATATAATGTACTTTTCATTAGTAGTTTCACGCTCGGATTGGCTCAAAATTATTTATTTTCAAATGTAGCGAAAAAATACATTACATTTTTCTGTAGACTTTTCATCAAAATATATATTTATATGAAAAACTAATGATCAAAATGATGTGAACATTAAATTAAGCGCAAAATAATTTACATAATGTTTGGATGAATTGTGAATGTTTAAAAAAGTGTTTTTTCACGTAATATAAAAAAATATAATTTAAATAATTGCCTAAACTTTAAGTATTAGAATAGGTTTCACTCTTATTGTTATTATTGCTATAAAACTTTCTGATAGTCATATCCGTGCAGTTTTGCTCATCGGAGGCGTCCCTGCAATCCATAATACCGTTACAGATGTGCTCTTTCTTGAGACACCGGCCCAAAGGACATCTGAGGCCATCGCACGGCCGGTTCAGCTCAGGCGACAAATCACTACCTGTTGTCGTGAGAAATAACATACACTTTTAGATTGAGTTAACAAAATTCAATTAGAGTGTCGTTCCGCTCATACTTATAACACTGTCGATCCAATCCATATATTTGGCAACTTTAGTGTAGACGCCGGGACGACCAGCTCGACCACAGCCGTCACCATTACTGGTCACTCCCAGTAGAAACCATTTGCCGTTCCTCTTCTGGCACATTAAGGGTCCGCCGGAGTCGCCCTTCAAGTCATTAATGAAATTTACATTTATTTTAATTATCTGCTAATTATCTCCACTTTTAATTATATGAAATGTCTCACCAGACAGGCATCCCGTCCCCCTCTGTCATAACCGGCGCAAAACATATTATCAGTGATCTTATAGAGCGGCAAAAATAGGGTTCGTTTGCGGCACTCCTCAGTTGATATGACGGGTAGTTTCACTTCTTGTAATGTATCGGCTTTTGTAATCAAATATAAGAGATATTTAATTATAGTTTAAACCCTTATATGTATTGACTCTTCAATTTTGATTAATTATAGGAAATGAAGATTAAAGTCAAGTAAAGGCATAATCATGTGAAACACATATTATTATTTAATTTATTAAATTAGAAATACTATAAAGCAATGAATCAAAAGTTACACTTACGGAATATACGACCATGCTCAAACAGTTTGCCCCAACCAACTGTAGTGCAGAGCTGTCGGTGCCATTTGGACACGTCTTCAGCTTCTGATGGCATACACACGGGACGGACGTGTTTGCTATCAAACGAAATACAATACAGAAGTATAAGTGACGAGTGATTAATGATTAATGAATTGTCGATCTCTGGAGTCAATAATTAATTGGTTTCTCTTTCAATAGCCAACGATTACCTATAATTGATGGGTTCGTTAAGCCTTAATAAGGCGATGTCATTAATAAAGCCTTTGTCCACATAATCCTTGTGCACAATCACATGTGTAATGCGGCGGATCTGCTCATAAGGACTGGCGAATACATTCCCGCGCCTTAATATACCAAACCTGGCCGTCCAGTAGGCCTCACGAGTGCTAGAGTTACATAATTAATGAATTCAAGAGATTAATGCAAACACCAAAAGCATATCAAATAACTCGAAGTAATCTGAGAGCACTCTTAATAGTCTTATTCTTAGATGAGTGGGAAGTAAGCGGCTATACCTAAGCTCAGGCACTCACAAGTTGTTTAACATTTTTATGGATTTCTCTTAATTTTTTGCATACAAATTAAGCCTAATTTGAATTCTCGTTTGCATTAAGTTTACGGAAAGTCTTATAAAAGTTTTTCTTATTTTTTATGCCAAAAAGTGATGTAAACTCACGCATGAAAACAATGAGCGGCTGTGAGAAGCCATTGCGAGTCTATGATAACACCTCCGCACTGGAACTCTCCCTCCCGGTATAGGGCCACCTGCCAGGGCCAGGAGCCCTGCGATGAACTCTGGCCCCCAACGATCCGTCGTCTGATGCCGTTCGTGACGGGGCGAACACCACATTCTGGGCACACCATTGGGCACAGGGATGGGATAAAGTTATATAAGATTACTCTGCATTGTCTACTGAGATAATAGGCCTTAAAATAGGAGTCAATTAAATCTCTCACCGAAATCTTTGCACTTCACATAAGTCGCTCTCTTAGACACACATTCAGACCTTTCAAAGAGGGAACTCCACCTGAAAAGTGCATTTCAATTGAATGCAGACATCGATTAATTGTTTTGATTGAATAGAGAGGGAAACAACACGTGAGTCATAAAGAGCACGAAATAATGGTTAAGAGAAATGATAATCACATGGAAAGTGATGGTGAGATCCGGTCGCTAAACGGTTCCATTTTGAAGAACTCATTGGAGTTATAGTTGGAGAGACTCGTGAGTTGAATGCTTTGCAAATCGCTGTACGAGTTGGCCCTACAAATGGCTTTCCCCAAGTCCTCAATCTTCCACAAGTCCTCTGAACGCCGGTTCCTCTGGATGTCTAAGTCGTTGTTCATATTGATGTCATCCAAGCAAAGTGGGGCCCACTTTCCCTTCTGGCGTATGTATAGCGCGCCCTCAGAGTTAAAATACCGGCCCGTCTTATCCAGGGTCTGATCGTTTGGCACCAATGATATGCATTCACTCTCGTCATCACCATTTGGACAGTCGTTATCTCCATTACAGACTTTTGTCTTATCAATGCATACATTACTCTGCGGACAGACATAATTGCCGGTACAGTAGGAACAGTTCATCTCATCGCTCATATCATAGCAATCTATAACTCCATCGCAGATCTTCTTGAACTGTCGCTCAGCCCTCAGATAGTGAGCACACGTGCACTGCCTCTCATCGGAGCCGTCGGAACACTCGAACCGACGATTACAGTGAGCTCTGGCGGGTATGCACTCACCGGACGCGCACTCGAACTCATTCTCCGCACAGGTATTGCTGGCGGTCGTCGTCTCCAATCCATGACTAGTGGTTGTCGTCAACGCAAACCTATTCATCACATCTATAGGCGATGAGTGGTTGAGTGCGATCTCGTCGTCATAGAGGGCTTCGTCGGCTATTTCCTCGTCATTGAGGGTAACGGTGTCCGCGTTCACGATATCGTTGTTCGGGTACTTCTGGTAGAGGGCGGGCGGTATGTATTTAGGCAGTCGCTCGCCATATAGTGGTTCACCGGAACCCGTCGGCGGTCGGATCAGCTTTTCAGACACTATTTGATCGGATTTGTCGACTCCAAGAGGCAAACCGGCGATCACTTCTGGCACTGGTGTCGAAGTGGAGGCACGTCTTAAGTTGGGATTAAATGTGTTTATGTCGCGTACGATCTGATGAGTGGATGACGTTATGGTTGACGTGAAGGGAGAGGTTGTGTTGGCAATGACTTCTAGGACAGGATTCTCTGATAATAAGGTCTCATTAATGACAGAGAAGTAATCAAATGGACTTTTAGTAAGGGATGAGTTGTATTCGTTGGTCGCCTCAGAGCTATTTGGCGTCTGATTTACATTTTGTGTTGCATTTCTTGTCTCCCATTCATTACTTTCTAAACGCTTAGCCTTTTCCTCAGTTTTATTCTTCGACTCTTTGGAAAAGTATAGGACAGGACTTCCAACGGATAACTCTTTCACTCGAGTACTGGTGGGCACTGAAGAAAATGTCACTTCATTAGGCAATACTGTGGTCACAGATGAGTGCGAAACATAATCCCTTTCGGTGTCACTCTTTCTGATGTTTGGATTTTCATTCAAAATATCTAATGATTTATTTCTTCTTAAGTCTCTGTTATAATCACTGAATTGAAAGCCAGTCTTATTAGTGGGTGTTTGGGGAGAGGACTCAACATTTGTGATACTCATCGGAACCATAAATCCGTCGACCATTGATGGGTCGGCTGTTGTTGAGGAGAGTCGAGGCGATCGCGTGGGTTGGGGTTGGGATGAGCTGACGGATGTTGTGGATGAGGGCAATTCTCTCTCCTAAATAAGTCATTAATGTTATCACAAATTATTAAACCTAATGTTATATGTTGTGAAATGAGCCCAATTTTAAATGTTTTATAGCTTTTAATTTATTTAGAATTTTTAATTTTATAATAAATTTTATATAATTTCTTTTTTACTATTTGTTTTGTCTTTTGACACAAAACACACAAATCATTTACAATTGAAAACACGATAAAAAGTTAGATAAATGTGTCAATAACTCAATGATTGTTTTAAAGGGCAATCGTATGACTCTGTCTTTCGCAACGGCTAACTTCCCAGAGGACTACCTGCCCTATACGGCCACATACACCAGAAATAAGGACCCGTACCTCGTGTGGGACAATGGCTTCAACGCGGACGCCAACAGCGACGGCCACTACCATCACACCCATACGCACACCACTGCCAGTATCGACAGTCACAGCCCGGCCAGCCTTAACCACTATCACATGCAGTCACACAACCATCTGTACCCGACGTGTTCGGCCTCATCGGCCTCCTGGCCCTCGCAGAAGAAGCGCAAGTGTTGTGGCCTATCGTGCGGGTGCTGTGCCCTCACTCTGTGTGCGTTGGCCATCATCTCAGCGCTCGCCATAATCGTCGGTTTCTCCATATACTTAGCTATGATTACAAATCTACACAAATCCTCGCAATATGTAGTCAACGGGAGCTTTAAAGTGGATTCTGGTGACGCCTTTCACATGAAGTTAATCAACACTTCTTCGCCAGAATTCATGAGAAAAGCCAACAAATACGAGACTATTGTAAGTGATTTTTTCTAAGGTTTACATCAAAATTTTGCTTTTTTAATCAACTTTATGCTAATCGATTGAATGCGAAAACTTTTTTGGCGTTTAGAGTTGGCTTCTTATGTAAAAATAAAAAACTTTTAAGATTTTGCAATTCAATAGTTAGGCCCAGAATTAAAGGGAAAAAGAGTTTAAAAGCCATTGAAAAAAGAAAGAGAGAAAGATTTTTCTCTCTGTTTAAGAGAAAATAGTTTCAAAACTTTCTCTCTTAAGTCACACATGAATTATTAGACAGCAAATTGAACTCAAAATACTATATAAACCAATATAAAAAATATTGTACTAGAAAGTGCATTGCAATTGCTTTAGCGCTAAGTTTAATATCACATAATAAGCGGCGATAGTATTATGCATTCAATGCATTCACGCATTTCTTAACGAAAAACTGCTAATAATGATGAATGATATCCAAAAATTGTGGTTCCAGTCAATACTGTAGTAATTCTGTAGATTTTCTCCAATACTTACCGTAGAAAACACTCTCCGAAAGCCAAATATGATTCAATACATTGAGTGAAAACAAGTTTTGTGTCCTTTTTATGAATTTTTCTTCTTTGAAATAAATCTTATATCTTATACGCCGATACTTTGTAGTGTAATATGTATTGTAATAAAAATTAAGTAATAATTTTCAATAGAAATCGTGAGCTTTTAACTCTTCTCTCGCCGTTTCTCTACTGTATTTATAATATATTACTCAATAGTATCCTCTTTTTATTGTACACTTTTCACTCAAATATTGAGTGTTTAATACATGAATTAGTTTTATCTCTCGTCATAAAGATTATGAAATAAACACTACTTTCTATGCATTCATTTTCTTTATTATTATACAATATTATACGAGAAAAATATTTATATTATATTCTATCCTAAAGTCATGAGGAGAGAGAGAGAGAGAGAGAGAGAGAGAGAGAGCCTCTAAGTTATCAAACCCTTTCAAAATAGTTTTAAACATTTCTGCATAATTTGTCTGAAGGAATATATATTTTAGATCAGATTTAAGTCCAGAAAAATCTTGAACATAATGATAAATAATAGGATTTTATTTGAAACATAACTTAAAATTATTTTTCAATTATTTCAAATTAAAGTCATTTGTAATCGCATTCAATGTTATATGAATTCACGGATAAAATAGTTGTCATGTCTTTAAAAGCGCGTATAAAATCAAAAGTAATTATTAATAGGTTTTCATGGCTTTCATAAGAAAAATGGATTTGAATAACTTTATTGAATATCTGGTGTAGAGTACTATAAAGGGTTACGACTGATATCTCATTGGATGTCATTCATCATTCGCGGCATAAAAGAGATTTTTAGACATAAATGAATTGCATATTCGTGTATCAGACAAATCTTTTCATACTTGTACACTATTTGGCATTCACATCATTGTATTCAAAAGGAATTTCTTTTCTCTTTAATTGAATCACTGTATGAATAGATTAAGACAGCCTTTGAGACGAGTGCTATGAGTGATGCGATCACCAAACAGGAAGTCTATGCCTTCCGAAAGGGCTCTTTAGTAGTGTTTTTCAAACTCTATTTGGACCGAAGAAAGATCGACACTATTATCGACGGCGAGAGCGCCAGAAGTGCTGATAAGACTCGAGGAGAGGCACCGTTTGATGACGTGATGGCCGTTAAGCTGTTGCAGAAGGAGTTGAGGGACGGCATCAGCCAATTAAAGATCACTGGAACCGAACAAATCATCATTGATTTGAAGTCCATTCAAGTCGTCAATGAATTGGAGGAATCAATGGCCGATAATAATGTCAATGATATCAAGACCAGCGGTTTTGCAGCGACTAAACCATTGGCTCCCATAAAGGCTAAAGACATCAAACAATTGACAAACAAGTCTGACATTAAGCCAAAAGCTAACCAAACAGACAATGACTTGAATGGGAATGCCGTGAATACAACAAACGCTACAGAAATGCCTTCTCTTATGAAAACCACTTCCAGTAGTGAAGGACCAGAACCTGATGCTCGAAACGCTTCAAATACTCCGACAATAAGTACTGGAAATACGGTTTCAGTAATTAGTTCAACACTTTCGACGACAACTCATTCATCAACGATCACTTCCACCCCTTCCCACAGCTATAATAACACAGAACTCAATGTTTTCACGTCTAATAAACCTAATCATAAGTCCACTAATCCTGATATTAAGTCAACACCTGTTCCGCCAAAGACTGAACATAAAAACCCATTCCTTCCGTTCACACGGAGACAGTCGACCACACCTCCCGTCACCACTGTCTCCACTCCCAGTACTAATGTCCGCATCACTACCAGATCTCGGCTAAGGACCACTACCACTACTACTACACCACTGCCACCGACACCACCGCCTCCCCCACCACCTCCTGGGGAACCGACAAACGTCTTATTGAAACGAACAGACCTTAAAGACGACATTCTTCGAGTTTCGGGTCTAAATTTTGGTGATTGGAAACCAGTTTCGCCGCAATCAGTCAAACCCCTACCGAAACCACTGCCACCAAAGCCTATCCCACCGCCAATACAGGCTCCGCACCAGCCTTTGGCTCCAAACCAAATGCCACACAATTTAGGCCCTCTATTGAAGCCACCGCCGCATAACATACATCCCCATCAATATATGCCTAACCGACCGCACCTTAGAATCCCATTACCCATAGGAATACCTATGCGTGAAGTGCCACGACTTTTGGACACCGATGACAATGAAGAATATACTGGAGTCACGCCAAAGGAGATTGAAAGACACAATACATCCATAACTCACGGAATTACGAGAACCACAACCCCTACTATACCGACAACTTTGTTGCCCTCATCCACAACATCCGTCAGCTCATNATACTTGTACACTATTTGGCATTCACATCATTGTATTCAAAAGGAATTTCTTTTCTCTTTAATTGAATCACTGTATGAATAGATTAAGACAGCCTTTGAGACGAGTGCTATGAGTGATGCGATCACTAAACAGGAAGTCTATGCCTTCCGAAAGGGCTCTTTAGTAGTGTTTTTCAAACTCTATTTGGACCGAAGAAAGATCGACACTATTATCGACGGCGAGAGCGCCAGAAGTGCTGATAAGACTCGAGGAGAGGCACCGTTTGATGACGTGATGGCCGTTAAGCTGTTGCAGAAGGAGTTGAGGGACGGCATCAGCCAATTAAAGATCACTGGAACCGAACAAATCATCATTGATTTGAAGTCCATTCAAGTCGTCAATGAATTGGAGGAATCAATGGCCGATAATAATGTCAATGATATCAAGACCAGCGGTTTTGCAGCGACTAAACCATTGGCTCCCATAAAGGCTAAAGACATCAAACAATTGACAAACAAGTCTGACATTAAGCCAAAAGCTAACCAAACAGACAATGACTTGAATGGGAATGCCGTGAATACAACAAACGCTACAGAAATGCCTTCTCTTATGAAAACCACTTCCAGTAGTGAAGGACCAGAACCTGATGCTCGAAACGCTTCAAATACTCCGACAATAAGTACTGGAAATACGGTTTCAGTAATTAGTTCAACACTTTCGACGACAACTCATTCATCAACGATCACTTCCACCCCTTCCCACAGCTATAATAACACAGAACTCAATGTTTTCACGTCTAATAAACCTAATCATAAGTCCACTAATCCTGATATTAAGTCAACACCTGTTCCGCCAAAGACTGAACATAAAAACCCATTCCTTCCGTTCACACGGAGACAGTCGACCACACCTCCCGTCACCACTGTCTCCACTCCCAGTACTAATGTCCGCATCACTACCAGATCTCGGCTAAGGACCACTACCACTACTACTACACCACTGCCACCGACACCACCGCCTCCCCCACCACCTCCTGGGGAACCGACAAACGTCTTATTGAAACGAACAGACCTTAAAGACGACATTCTTCGAGTTTCGGGTCTAAATTTTGGTGATTGGAAACCAGTTTCGCCGCAATCAGTCAAACCCCTACCGAAACCACTGCCACCAAAGCCTATCCCACCGCCAATACAGGCTCCGCACCAGCCTTTGGCTCCAAACCAAATGCCACACAATTTAGGCCCTCTATTGAA